TGTTGTTGTTAAGTGCCATCAAATTGATTCCGAACCATAGCGACCCTGTTTAGGGTTTCCGAGAAGCAGCTGGTAAGTTTGAACTGCCAACTTTGCAGTTCAAATGGCTTTGCAGTCTGGTGCATTAACCCACAATACTTCATGGTAGTAAACACAAATATTTAATCTATTTTTTTTTTCTTTCAGTTTTCTAGAAATCATTACTTGATTTACTAGTAATAGGCATTCAAAATGAAAGTAGTAATAATTTAACTTTATCTTCTTTTCCAACATGTCTCCTGTTGCAACTGAAAGAATTTTAAATCTCTTTCTTTATCATCTTTTGACTTCCCTTATGCCTTGTTTTCATACCCAACCTTAGAGGCAATCAGAAAGAAACAAGAGAGATCTGACATATATGAACTGTCACCTCTTCAAGATCATAACAGATTTTCTTCCTTGTTCCTACAGCCAGAGTATGGGATCTAAAGGTTAGTTATAGGGAAACAAAGAAAAGTAGTCCTACAGGGATACAAGAGGTGCTGGTGGGACAACTTTCCATTCGACCCCATCACCATTAACCTGAAGGCAATGCTGCTTTATCAGAATATTCTTTCATTTCAGAAAACAAAAGTAAGAAGTCCATGTGGAAAATGTATGATAAATACACTTTTTTCCTAACTTTTCAATTTCAAATGCCTTTACAGGGCCCACTTGATGAGTTTACACTGAGAAAAATACATAAATAGTAAAAAAGAAAAAGAAAGAAAAAAATCAACAAATTGAAGCATTTGGAGATGAAGCTAGTGGTATTCAGAATTTAAAGATACTGTGTCTCCCTGAATTTGATTAATAAGTTAGCCATAGTTCTTTCAAAAACTTTCTAAGTTGAATTGAAAGAATCTCTTGAAGGAAATGCTTCTGAAAAGCAGAGATAAGCCATTGAGTCACTGACTGATGTAGCATGTCCACCTAGCAATGGGGAGATAGGATGAAATATTCCAAATGAAGCTTGTTGCAGAAAGATAGTGTAGGAATAGTGCCAGAGTCATCGTGGATAAGCAAACACAGAGTTCATAACTGGGAGGTAGTAGATGAGGAGCTGGGATTCAAACATATGGTTAAGAAAAAGTCACAAATCAGAGATGACAGAGTAAGGTGTAAGAAATAAGAATAGATTAAAAACATATAAATCTTATGTAATGAGTAACAGAGAATGCTCCACCCCTTGCTGGTACAATCTTTAAATTCACTACTTGGCACTATGACAATTTTCTAATTATATCTTCACACTTTCTCCTTTGAAGGAAAATAGGATTGGTCAACCTACTTCCTTGCATCTACCTACCATCACCCAATGTTTCTATCACCTTCTTCCCTAAACACTCACCTCTGGCAAAGGAAAACAACACATTTAAGATGCTCTCTACATTTACTGCTATGAGGTAATGGTGGAAAGAATTAATAGGAAATGTTTACCTAAGAAATAATTTATAAAAATGTAACTTATAATATAAGTTATACTCAAACTTATTATATAAATTATTCAATCCATATTATCAATGTAATTTTAAGTGAATAAATTCTAATCTTATTCAATTTCCCCCTTCTATTACTATGTAGTCCTTTTTTTTAAAAAAAAATGTTTTATTGTGAATTATATGATAGTTTACATGAAAGAACTTTAGTTTTACATTCATTCCATCATATATCATTTCATTGCCATGGTTCCAATCCCCTCCATGCATCATCTTCCGACCAAAGGGCATATCCTAGAAACCCGTCCTCTACACTTCCTCCCCGCTCCCCCCAAGTCTTCGGCCCACAGTCCCTCTCCCTCTTTGGATCCAAAGTCCCCAGCCGCTTCATCACTCCATGTCATCATCTCTTGTCTCCACCTCAGGCATCCCTGCTTCTCTGAGTAGGGTCCCGCTCTCGGCTTTTCACTGTTGGACTATGTAGTCTTTTGTTTTTGTTTGCTTGTTGGTTTTTAGAGAAATTTAATTTGTTTTAATTATTCTACAACTGTCAAAGTAATAGCTGGCACCAGAGCCCTTTCCTAAACACTGGGACAAACAGAGTAAGAAAAAAGAGACTAGTGTAGGTATTTGAGTACATATAATTGATGCTTTTGAGTTATGGTGTTGGAGGAGAATATTGAAAGTGCCATGGGCTGCCAAAAGAACCAACAGATCCATGTTGGAAGAAGTGCAGCCAGAGTGCTCCTTAGAGGCCAAGATGGCCAAACTTCGTCTCTCATACTTTGGACATATTGTCAGGAGGGAACAGTCACTGGAGAAGGATATCATGTTTGGTAAGGAGGAGGGTCATAGAAAAAGCAGAAGATCCCCAGTGAGATGGATTGGCAAAGTGGCAGCAGCAATGGGCTCAAGCATGGCAACAATAGTGAGGTTGGCCCAGGATTGGGCAGTGTTTCATTCTACTGTGCATAAGGTCACTATGAATTGGTACCGACTCAATGGCACCTAACAACAACAACAATCTTCTAGAGACTTCTATTTATAAGCGAAATAATTTTTCTAATTGGTAGAAACACAAAACATGTCTAATCAATCAATTTTCACCTCCCAACAAAGAAATACAGATGAAGTTACTTCCATAATTATAAAAGTTCTATACAATCTAAGAAATTTTGAAAGTTTGGCGGGGGAGGAAAAGGAGGTAATGTTCCACTCAACCAAGACAAACACTGTTAACGTTTCAGTTTATTGAATTCCAGATTTCTTACAATGCACTAGCAAATATGGCTACAATCATATTGTAACTTTACCCCAATTATAAGAAATAGAAAATTTAAAAGAAATAGAAAAACTTTCTATTTTTTATCACTCTAACTTAATTTCTAATATAACCACTTTGGGAAGTAGTATTTGGTCACAGGGTAGACAAAGTGAAGTTGTTTTCAACTAACATCCCTCACAAAGATATTCAAAATGATATCATTAACAGAGCTAACTATATGTAATCCCTCATCAATGAAGCCAATATATTTTCTTATTGAACATATTAAGTACATGGTGAAGCATATTCACAAAATAATTTATCTTAATCAAATTTAATGGAAAATTAAATTTTACAGTTAAATAATAGATTTAGCTAATAGTTGTATTTCAAAGATTTCATCTGGGCTGAAAACACAACTACAGTATTCCTTAACTATGCTATTTTGGTTTTTATGATTTCTGATCTTTTCATTAGAAACTCAGAAAGGTCAGTGTAGCAGAAACCACATTCTATGGATACCAAAATTAACTATAATTTATAGCACATTTTCTTCATGGATTATACTTGCTAGAAATTATCTAGGTTAAGTTGTTATTTAAAAATATTACATTCCATTTAAAGAAATTTTTCAAATAATTCATTTAAAGGGAAAAAACAACTACTTTGCTTTTCAAGGTAAGAACTCAATGTGCAATATGAGCACTTTCATCTCCCATAACAATCTTTAGTACGTATTCTCCTGAATTCACTGCCTTATTTTCTTCATTTAAAAGACACTTCATACAAAAACATGTCTAATCGAGCAATTCTCACAACAAAGAAACACAGATGAGGTTACTTCCATAATTATAAAAGTGCTATACCATCTAAGAAATTTTGAAAATTTGGGGAAAGGGACAGGAGGAAGGAATGTTCCACTCAACCAAGACAAATACTGTTTAACGATTCTGTTTATTCAATTCCAGATTTCTTACAATGCACTAGCAAATATGGCTACAATCCTATAGTAACTTTATCACCAATTCTAAGTACTTTGCTATTATCGTAATTTTTACAATAGTTTAATAATTGTAAAATATACATTGTATGCTTATACAATAATATACCTACCCAAATTGCTCTAATTACAAATTTGAACCAAGTTAATTTGTAACACGGATTTAAAAAAATAAAAATTGTAAAGCATATCTTCTCTCCACCCTCAAAAGACCAATTTTTACCTTCTGTGTCATCACTGCTAGAGGAGTTCTCAGAATTCACACAAACGTTCAACTCTGTCAAAGATGGAATATATCCTGCAGGAGGCAGACTTACTGTATACATTCTCTCAGATTGGATCTTAGTGTCATCATCTGTAAAAGAAAAACAAAAGAAAATGTGAACTTGTAAACATTATATGCTGCAATCAGACTTTATGTGCCTTATTCACTGAAGACATGAAATTAAAGAGCTCAGTGAAACTTAACCATGGTTATAAATACAGATTTTAATAAGCCAAGTATTTTACGAAAATACCAAGTCACCTCTATATTTATGCAAGAAAAACAGATGATTTGTAATTATTTAAATCCACATTAAGTTTTTCATCATATAAACTTCTGGGTTTTGGAATACAGAAGCAGATCTAATAAA